GCTGGTTAGGTAGTGGTGGTGGAGGCTGCTTTCGCTTGCGAGTTGCAGCAGGTTTTGGGGTTGGGGTAGGTGAAGGTGTGTCGTCGGAGTCTTTGGAGGGTGGTGGTGGCAAGCGGATAGGTGGTCTGGAGGGTGCTGAATCGCAGGAGGAGGTGTATAGGGTGAATTGGTGGTGGTGGTAGTGGTTGAAAATGTTGGCGGAAAGTGGGATCCGCTTGGCGGATGTGGTGGAGAAAGTGGGTGTGGAGGTGTGCTATGATGTCAGTTGCTTGTCGTAGCAGGTTTTGGACCTGCGAGAGGGTCACAGTGGTTTGATGTAAAAGAGTTTGTGTGTCGTGGTGTGGAGGTGGCACTGTGCTGCTCATGATGTGGGCGGAGAGGGATGTATAGTCACAGCGGTTCGTCACAGGTTGCTGCTGCAGCGCGGCAAAGTAGCTGGGCGGCAGCTGGGCGGCATCAGCACGTCATCACGAGGCCATGCATATGAATTAATGGAGCACAAAATTCACGCGAGCATGGTCAGAAAGAGTGCAGGTCCGACTGAGAGATCAATGGCAAAAAACACCTTCATAGGTTGAAGACATCATCTGAAAAAACCCGTAAAAGGTTCGGATTAGTATTCTGCAAAGCAAAACCGCCAAAGCTTGAACACTTGAAAACGCGGAAGGGCCGCGGGACTGCTGTAAAGGTCTTTTCGCTGCTGTGGGCGAAGGTTTGTGTGGTGGGGTGAGACAAAGAGTGGAGGTGGAGGTGGTAGTTGCTTGGAGGTGGTGGAATGTGGTGTTACATGTCAGGTGGAGTGGAGTTGGTGGACCAGGCCAGTCCTTTGACGATGGCGTGGTCTGGGTGAATCACCCAGCAGCGTCCCTTCTGGTGGAAGACGGCTCCGTGGTGCTCGCTGAGGAGGGTCATGGCTTGTTCTTCGCCACCGGAAGTGTATTTGGTGGCTGCTCCCCAGGCGAGGAGTGTGATGATGATTGAGTGGGTGTTTTTGTGGAGTTGCCAAGTGTTGTGGATGATGCAAGCGAACTCGCTTTGGTCGTGGGGTGGATTGTGGGTGATGCGGATGCCCTGGGCAAAAAAGCTAGGGTAGTTGGCAAAGTGGAGTGTGCTGGGTAGAAACCGACCTTGGCGTAAAATGTTGGCAATGTTGCCGACTGGGCCTGTATGGCCGGCATTGATGTGCGCGACTTCCCGGTGGGTTGAAGTGGCTCGGGAAACCGCGGGTGGTTCGGGTGTGGTGGCCTTGGTGTTGAGGTAGGGAAGTGAGATGGCGTTGTATTGGAATTGGTCGTATTGGCGAGTGGTTTCGTTCCATGCGTGGGTGTATTGTCGGAAATCTGTAATCTCCTTGTATAGTTGATGTTGCAGTCGGTAAGGAGATTGGCGATGTACTGGTGCTGTGGTCGGTTGGGGGTGTCGAGTTGGTTGGCGTGAAATTCGAACCATTCAAGAAGTTGGTCTGTAGGTGAAAGAGCTTGGAAGTTGGGTGGAGGTCGCCAGCGGTTGAGTGGGCGACGAAGGACTGCTGTGGTGGGGTATTGAGAGGGGTCGGTGTTGATGTTGTCGGTGTTGGGGCGCAAATCGATGGGTTGTGGGGAGCGGCTGCGGGAAGGTGTGGGGCTGTAAGAGTAAGTGGAGGTTGAGGGCGAGCGGCGTCGCCGGGTGGTGCTGTGATGCTTGGAGTGGCGGTGATGTCGATGCCTGCGGCGGTGGTGGTGACGCCCACGGTGGTGATGATCAGACTTGCGTCGGCTCTTGCGGTGGTGGCGGCGGCTGCTGTGATGTGGGTGTGGGGAAGGTGGTGGTGGTGCTGGTGAAGCGGTGCTGTCGGGCTTGTCCGTTGCAGGTAGTGAAGGTGGAGTGGCTGGTGGGGCTGATGCAATGGATGGTGATGGGGATGGTTGGGAGCCAGTGGCTGAAGTGGTGACGTTTTGGACCGGTACTGCAGGGTCCTTGGCTGACGTGGTGACGTTTGAGACCGGTGCTGTAGGGTCCGATGGTGCCGGTTGTGGGAGTGAGGGTTTAGCTGGTGGTGATTCGCCGATGGCTAGTGGAGGCGGCGGCGGAGGCAAAGGTTGAGGTGAAGGTTGTGTGACTGGGGGAAATGCTGAGTAGGGTTGCCAAACTCCCTGGGGCATAGTCCACTGCGGGTCTGTGGGTGGATGATGAGCTATTGTTGCTTGTTGTGGTGCTGGAGGTGACTGGATCTGCGTAGTGGTGGTAGGTTCTGTAGGTGGTGTGTGATGTAATTGTGGCAGCATGTAAGAAGGGGGAGGTGCTGTAGATGGAAAAACTGGGGTTGGGTGTGTGGGTTGCGGTGGCGGCTGAGATGGTTGCGCAATCGTCTAGGCTGAGGGAGTGCCGTAGGACTGCGCAGTAGGAGTTGGAATAGGCATGGTAGGTGGAGCCTGATAGGGTTGTGGTTGTGTATAAGGAAATGCCGATGGATGTGGTGATGGGAAGGTGGGTGCGGTTTGTGGTTGCGGCAGCGGCAATGTGGGCTGAGGCTGCGTAGTGGGTAGTGGTGGTGGTGTGGCATGAGCATATGGCCAGGGAAAATGCATGACGTAGTCGAACGTGTCGGTGGTGAAATGCAGCGCTGTGTAGTAAAGGCTTCGCTATGGCACGGCGCGGCGCAGCAGCAATGGTGCAGCTGAAATTGCAAAATTGTATTGTCATGGTGATGTTGAAAGTCGCATTGCTCGTGTTGACAGGAAGTGTGTTGTGAAGCTGAGCTGGGTGTGATATGTGAACTTGTTGTCAGGTGTGGTCATGCATCTCGAATTAGAGTTGAGAACTCCAGTGTGCAAGCTTGAGTTCTGCTGACGAAAAGGTCACGGCACAAATCAGAACGTACAACATGTGAGATCATGCAGAAAACGACGTGCAAGACTGATCAGAAAGCCGGTGGAAGAGAAAGCTGCCGTGTTTGGGCCCGGCGGCCAATGCATCAGTTGATTCTATGGGGGTGGCCGTGACTTCCGGTGAAGGTCCAGTGAAAAGTGGTACGTTGGGGTTGTTGAATTCCGATGCAAAAAACGGCGCCCCTGTGACGGGGATCACACTCAGCACCCGAGTGGGACGGCTGAGCGAAACACACTCTGACACTTGTATTCAGTGACTCAGTTACCACGATGGGAAGGATGGCGGTGGAACGGCATGGTGATTGGGTCAGATCACTTGAAATGTTTAACGTAGTTTCTCAAACGCTGCACATCTGCAGACGATCGGCGGCTCAGCTGCTGGGGACGAGTAGGTTTGTGGGAAGTATCATGCAAACGACCATGAATCAAAAAAGGAAAATTGGAGTAACAGCTTGTGAAGAACGAGCAGGTACGTCTGGCTGATCAGGCCAGATATCAGCACGGATCTTGACCCTCTTCGTTGGATCACCAGTCAAGTCCGTGGGTGATCCCCCTGCATGTGAAAGTTCGTGGAAAATCGGTGAAGGAGGTGGCGGAGGAAAACCCTTTGTCCAGGGGTGGACACACACACACACACACTTATGGAAATGCGTACTGATTGGATGCGGTTTGCCACACGCCACCTTGGGTACCCAAATCCTGACCAGATCAAGTGAAAACCAAAGAAGCCTGGAGGTCGTCAAACGGAGGCGACAAAGTAGCGTGCAGGTCTGACGTACACAAGAAATCTTAAAATTGAGGCAGGTTTAGGGGAATATCATGCAAAACACCATGGAAGCAAACCGCAGCGGTGGAAGAGTGGGGTGTTGTCACAAGTGCAGGTACGTTTACACCCAGGTGGGGGGTGTCTTCGTTGGCCAGAGACCCCCCACTTGGCTCCGCCCCCTGCTCCTTCAAAATTGAAGTCAAAGCGAAACAATCCGAAAGGATCCCTGTGATTCCAAGGGTACACACACACGCACCCCCGGAGGGGAGGCAATCCAAGGAAAGTTGATGCCGACGCAATCGTGAGGAGGGCCACTTTCACTAAGCTCCGGGTTTGTTCGACGTTCGTTCGCAGTGTTCGACGTTCAGCAGCTCGTTCGACGTTCCCCGCCGAGTGTTCCACTGCTATGAAAAACACTCCAACAGGATCCCTGTGAAAAAGTGCACGTGTGCGCGCGCAGCACGGACAAAAGGATGAAGACATGAAAGGAGGACAAGACAGGGCAAAAGTGTACGTGGCTGCGATGAAAAGGAACCAAGTGCACAGGGACAAACAATGAACCCCACCTCATTATCAAACCTGGGCGACCTGAAACCTGGGTTAAAAGTACGTGTAGATGTGCCGGGACCGATGTGTGCGCAAAAGAAAGAAGGAATGAAATGCCAAGACATGAAGACAGGAGGACATGAACGAAAAGAGGAGAACTCATGTGTGTGAAGGGGAAGGATGAAAAGGGAACCAAATGGAGGGTAGAGGGAGAGGGAGAGGGAGAGAGAGAGAGAGAGTGAGTGAGTGAGTGAGTGAGTGAGAGAGTGAAAGAGTGAGAAACAAAGAAAATTCAAAGGCCCCAAGAAGGAAAACAAAAAGGCAGACAAGGGTCTTGAGAAGGAAACAAGGGAAAAAGGTCAAGAATAAAGAACTGAACAAGAAACAAGGGAAGAGCAGGGTTTCAAAAAAGGCAACAAAGAAAGACAAGTCCAAAAAAGAGTGTCTTCAATTGGAATAATGTCCAAAGGCCTCAAGAAAGAACCACAAAGGAAGACAAGGATTTAAGAAAGGAAACAAAGCAAGAATGGACCAAAGGTCTCGAGAAAGGAAGTAAAGGAAGCCAAGGGCCTTAAGCAAAAACAACAACGAAAGGAAGGTCCAAAGGTTAAAAGAAAGAAATTTACCAAGGAAGACAAGGGCCTAAAAAAGGAAACAAAGAAAGAAAGGCCCAAAGGTCTAAAGAAAGGAAGAACCAAAGGAAGACAAGGGCTTGAAAACAGGAAACAAAGAAAGAAAGGTCCAAAAGCTTAAAGAAAGAAACAACAGAAGACAAGGTCTAACAAGGTAGCTTGGACGAAGTAATCGGAGAACTGCCGCAGGTCGATATCGCTTTTGCAGGCAAGGTACCCAAAGATATTTTAACATACTTCCCATGAATGCTGAGGGTTTGTTCTGATACTTGCAAAAGAGCAGGCCTGGGTCATTGCCATCTTGGCGTGGTGGGCTGCGAGTGCTTTTCGTGTTTACGCTGATGGTTGCGTACTGACATTTTCAGCCAGGCCTCCGCTTTGCTCCTGCAGGTAGAGAAACGCGGACGTATGCCAACGTTTGCGAGCTAGTGTTCGGCTGGATTTTTTTTACGAATTTTGGATGACGTTGCTAGGTCGAGAGCTAACAGAAAGAATTTGTGGTGTGAGAGTTTGGACTGCTCTCTCCCTCTCTCTGCAATTTCTTTTTGTGGCAGATTTGAACATTGAAGGCTTTGCGCGAGCTAGCGCAAGCTGATGTTGCCACCAAGGCATGTCTTCAATGCATTGAAGATCATGTCAAGTGTCTTTTCCCGATAGAGCCCGGCTGACTCACTGAGTTTTGCGTCTGTCTTGGTTTCCCGCAGCGATGTTAGCAGCTTCCAAGCCACAGGTTGCTTGGTTTGTCGGGCTGGCGCACGAGTTGGTACTGCCCTTGATGGAAGTCTTCGTCTTAGCAAAGGAGGTAGGAGCATTAGCGTGGCAAACAGTTCATGTTCTAGGATAAATTACCTAGCAGACGTGTCCCCCGCTGTTTCAGTAACTTTCTCTTTCTTTACGAGGCTTTTTGATTGACCAACCGGGTTGATCTACTTGGTTGGTCATATATACATTAGTGCTATCTATTTAGCCTTTGAAACATTTAGGGCAAGACAAAGCATTTCTTTTTCCAGGGCAGTGCTGTGTGCATGGCGCGCAAAGTGCTTGAGAGTGTGCTGCGTTCTAGATAACCTGCGGGAGGTGTCGCTGGGTAAGTTTGCTCCACAGACCAGCTGAGTAAATTGAAATGTGTGGAGTGTAACCTACCCACTACTTCATATTATACTTCCTTTCTTTCATGGTCAGCGTGTGCGACTTCCTGTCATGAAAAGATGCGTTGCTGTCTACCCGCATCGGCTTGGTTGATAGTGCTTCTGTCAAAGACCCACTTCATCTGCGTGGACGAGCGTTCGCGCTCCCGGTTTTCAGTTTTGACAGTAGGCTAACGCGCAGCGTCCGTGGGGGTGCTGCAGCTGGGCGGCGGCGCGAGGCCTGTGTGCCACGCGTGGCTTCGGCGGCCGGAGGGCCCTTCCGGACGTTGGTTTTTTGTGCGCACTGTGGTGTCTCGCGGCCAACATTGAGCAGCATTGATCAGAGAAATTCGCCCTTGAGTTCCGTGCTCGCTTGTGGCATCCAACTCCTCCGCCAGGGTTCTCCATCGAAGTTCGGCTAAGTGTGACGCAGCGGCTGGATCAAGGATTGGTTCATTGATCCACACCCAGCGAAGGCCTCCGGCCTCTGGTACCTTTGCCATGCGCGCAGGTCCCTTAAGGTTCGTCCATCGCAGCGAAGCAGAGAAAAGTTCAATCATATAGGGCATATAGGGTTGATGGACTGATGTGCCCAGAGCCGACGGATGGTGATCAGGAGCCGAGGCCCGCCAAATCAGGCGCCATTGTTGCTGGCTGAGTCCTTTTAGGCCAGGTGAGGTGTCAGCGCGATCATGTCAATGTGCGCTCTACGGTCAGTTTTACCAAAGATGATTGAGTGGAATCATACCATCGCCGGTTTCCACAGATTATATTTGTGTTCCATCAAATGCCGCAGCCACACAGCGCGAAGACTGAGGGGTATATACGTGCTAACCTTCTGACGTAGCCATGGGCTTTGCGGCAAGCGCTAGCTTTCGTCCACCGCCTGCTTGATCGCAGTGGCAGACCCGGGGTCGAGGATTTTCAAACGAAACCCTTCATTTCAAGGGGTGTGAGTCAGAATGGAAGTTGAAAGCTCAATTACAGTAATGTTTCGCGGGGGGGGGCTTGACTGAGCGCCGTCTTTCAGGAGCTGGGTTCAGCCCCGCTCCAAATTCGAACCCAGCGTCGAACACTGTCAATGCTTTTGCCATGGTCACATTTGGCTGCGTTCGCGCATTTGCCTCCAGCCAATCTTGGCAACTAGGAATCGCGCGTTCGTCCTCATATTCCGTAAGATGTTGCGCGAGATTCTGTAACAGCCGCTGTATGGTTACCCAGAGTCGCCCGCGCGTTGGCGGAACCATTCCAAGACCCTAAGAGATACACTTGCGGAAGTCGGATGTGGCTAGCGGCTAGCTCGCGTCAGTAGACCAGACATCGTGCGCATGCAAAAATGCACTACTAGGCGCATCACATTCGTTGGATTAAGAATGATGGTCACCGGCTAGCCCGAGTCATCTGTTTAGGCGCTCGCAGGAGTATACGCTCGAAACGGTGTTGGAGATGACTTGATCGGTCTAAGGCTTTCTGTGTTGCGACGCCGACTTCGGGGGTGATGTGCCCACAATGAAAACAACCTCAAGATTTGTGGTTGCTCCAGACAAAGAGAAAAGTCCCTCGGCTTGAGGAAGTGATCGCCAGCGTGTGGCTTTACTCAGCGTGACTGAAGCAGCGTTCGTTTCGCTTGCTGCGCCCCTTTTGGGAAGATGTGCGAATGGGAAGTCTATAGCAGACTTTGCTGCGCGCCTCTAGTCTGTTCATCACTGTTCATGTCGTTTATGAAGACAAGTCAGCTGCGATTGTGACCATCGCCTTTTCCCAGCGCTCAAGACATCCGTCTTACTATGACCCATAAAGTATAGTCAATGTCGCTTTTACATGTGCGCTTGTGAACTTCTATGAACTTCTCCAACGATGTGAATGTGAATGTGTCCACGAAGCAAAGAGGTGACATCACGACCAAAGCACTGCCGTTCCCAAAGTCGCACGCTGCGCCAAGTATTGAAGTTTGCTCTGAGCCGTCTTGCTGCGGATTTGCGTAGCCATGCATGCGCCCCAGCGTGCCGGATCAGCCAAAGGCTTCGCTCGAGCCGACTCGAGCCAGGGGGGCTTGAAATATGTGAGTGTAACTTTCATGGTCAGCGTGTGCGACTTACTTTGGCTCATGAGTTTCTAAAAACGCCCGTTATCCCGCTCCCCAGCGATTTTCGCCACCGTGTTGTCCTTCCCCATGATTGAATGGCACGGACTCGCGCTTAAAAGCGCCTTCCACCCTAGCTAGCCGCGCAAAACCACGTGGCGCAGCGACATCGCAGACGGAATTTCACCACGCAGCGTGCAGCGGACTGGATATACAACAATGTAACATTCAGCATCGTGGGCGCCGCCTCCCGCCGAATTTACGCCAGCATGTTTTCCCTCCACCAATTCAATGGCGCGGACTCACGCAGAAAGCCTTTCCACCGTGGCCGTGCAAAATCCACGTGGCACGGCGACATCACAGACGGAATTTGGCCACGCAGTGTGCGACAATGTAGTTAATGTTCGGCGTCGCGGGCGCCGCCAGTCATCCCGCTCTCAGCGAGACGCCGAATACACCAGCGTGCTTTCGACGGTTTTTGGCGACAGTTGCGCGCTCGGGCAACGGCGACAGCACACAGTTTAGCAACGTCCACCTCCGTTTTCGACGACGAAGTACACCCTAGCAGACACATCCCTAGCAGCAGGTCTAGAAGACCATGCAAGCTGCAGATGTACTTATAGCATACATACCAACGCTGTCATAATAGACAACCACGCATGCAAGCTGCAGATGTAGCTTATAGCGTACTTATAGCATACATACCAATGCAGCTATGAACAAGCCAGAAAGATATTGACGCAGATATATTCAGAGGCAAACGGAAGGGTAGTGCACAGAAAGGGTTTTGCAAAAACCTATTCTACTAACATCGTGGAAGGCGCGGGACATTCGTAGAACCCAAGGCTATTCGTGGACAGTTCGTGGAATGGTGGGCCAGTAGGAAAACTGACTGCAACGAAATCCCGGAAACCTTGGCAGAACTTCGTGGAAGGTATTTTTGATGCACTAACTTCGTATAAGAGATTTTTGCTGACCCCCTTTCTCCACGCACCCTCCATTTAGCCTTCATATATTACGCAAACAAATCTACACAAGAGCCCTTCGCAGCGCTCCCGGGAAAAACATGTAGACATGAATAGCAATAACAAACATGTTTTCGCAAGAAAAATGAGCAACGTGCTTTGTCCAACATCATGGCTGAGGCCCCGAAAGAACTGCGCGTGCCTCTCGGCGCATGGCCTGTTGAGGAGATCTTTGCAGTGTTTCCTTTTAGGGAGTTTTGGGTATATTTGGGTATATTTTTAGTTTAGTCTCCTGTGTCGGGCTTGGGTGCTCGGTGCTCGTGTCGCAGCAGGGCGTCGGTGTGTGTGTGTGTGTGCGCTTGGGAGCTTGCGCGCAGCACGCCGCTGGGCAGGGCGCCGCTGCTCTGTGTGCTTGGGCGCTGGCGCCGCTACAGGGTGCGCTTGGGAGCTCGCGTGCTGGTGCCGCTGCAGGTTGCTGCTGCTTTGTGCGCTTGGGCGCTGGTGCCGCTGCAGAAGAGCTTGGGAGCTTGGGCGCTGGCGCCGCTGCATGGGAACTTCTGTCTTGGGGCTTGGGTGCTGGTGCCGCTGCGGGGTTGGTGCCGCTCTGTGCACTTGGGAGGTTGGGCGCTCGTGCGCAGGGTGCCGCTGTGTGCGCTTGGGAGCTTGGATGCTGGTGGCTGGCGCCGCTCCAGCCACTTACGTATTTCTTTGGGCCCACGCGTTTTCGCCTGCTATCTGGGAACTATGCTGCCGTACAGGAGCTGCAGTGTTGTTGAGAGCATTTTCGGTTTTATTCTCGCATGGTTGTAAAGCTGTACAGTAAAGGAGGTGCGGGAATGGCCTTCAGCAGAGCAGGAAACATTTATATATATCGTCTACAGATGACTTGGCTTTGGGGAGGAGGATGGGATGGGATGGTACTAGGACGGTGGATGTATTCTTAAATTGTTTGCATGCCTGTTGGGCACTTTGCCTTTCACTTTTGCTTGGCTCTTTCACAGTTTCACGCCCAAACTTCACAGCCAATTGAATTGTGGTCAAAGCCAAAGCAAGCAAAGACAAAGTCAGAAAGGGGAAGAAAGGTATTCAGGATACTCATTGCAAACATATCGAACAACCTGGGTGTTGACTTGGAATTAGAGTGCCTACAAGGCTTTTGGTCATTTTGGTCTGTCAAAAACGTAATTTCGCAAGACGGATGTGGTTTTAATCTAGAGAACTGGGCATGTTTCTCGACAGACTTTCTATAAAGTCTTGAACCCAGCTTGAAACCCAACCCAACCCAGAAGGTCAACTTTCAAAAAAACGGCAGCGACCCAGTTTGAGTGATAATCGCCCGACAGTGCCTGAGTTCTCCATGTTTCTTGCGCGCCAAAATATATGGGAATTCAAACCTTCATCTTCACCTAACACGATATATATATAGGCTAGGCTTGAGCTTTTAGGGCGAACGAAGTGAGTTAAGGGGGTGTGGGGGGGGTCGCTGAGGAGGGCCTTTTGATAGGGTGAACCCAGAGCTTGGTGGGGGGGGTGCGCTCCAAAGCGAGGATCAGAAAAGCAGTGAAGATGAGGTCTGGTGATGCGAGTGATCCAGGACAACCCGTAACTCGTGAAATCCATAGAGAACCGAAAGTGACATGAGTTCAAGTCCATGAATTTGGATTGGTTTTCGGTGGGGATGCCTGCGAGGTTTACTACATATCCGCATAGGGTTCCTGCCCCCTAGCAAAAACTATACTTGTACCATGTCCTCGGTCGAGTGGATGCTTCTCGCGGCGTCCACACGCACCGAACGTTTTTCCGGCTTGCCGGTGCAGATAGATAGATAGATATACATTCACTGACTCATGACGTCGTCTTTTTTGCTGGCAGCCCTGGCCGAATCCAGTCAGCTTGGGTCCACGGCCCAAAGATCTACGCGCGCAGGTGCCAAAGTCAAGGCCTCTGAGTGAGAAAGGCGCAGAGTTGATAAGAAAGAGAAGAATGAATAAAGGAAGGTGTTTGGATCGTTTAATAAAGGCCCCTTTAAAGGAAAAGATTGTGTTTTGGATCGAGCCAGAACATGACTCACTCAAGTCCAGGCATGTGCATCGATAGGCGCACAAATCCTCACTCCTTTGCTAGCCCAAGCTACTCCCGCTGGACCTCCCCTTCTGCGCCGGGGGATCAAACGTCCGTGTCCCGGCTGAGACGTGCCCGTTCACTCTTCCAAATCAGCGATTGCCGCTTTTCGACGCGCCGCAGTATGCATTGCAAACTTCCAAACACTCCAAATGTAACAAAACACATAACTGCTTCTTTTCAAACGCGTGCCGTACTCGCGCGCGCGCGCGGCGACGCTGACTATGGCGTGCGCGTGGTATCCCACCACTCGAACTCAGACCGTATTTCCCCTTCGCTATCGCTGATTTCGCCTTCCAACTTCCATAAGATGCTTACCTTCAAGCGTGTGACAAACACATGCCATTGCCTTGTGATGATGACCCCAACATACAACGTATCGCATTTCTCTTCCACTACGTCTTTCATACCAAACTTATCCCAAAGCCGCCCGGCTTGCTTCTCTGCTCCCTCCATCACAGTTACACACCCCCCCCCGCATCCGCGGCACCGCTGACTCGCAAGCTGCCGACCATGTGTCTTGCGCCGCGATGCCCGCCAGAAAAAGAGACACTCGTCTGGCGGCTGCTGGCTTTCGTCCCCCCTTCTCAGGCATATATATATATATATAATGGCAAAGCAATGGACATACAAAAATGTTGAAACATCCGAGCTTTCTTCATGCCCCACTCTATTGACCCATGTTTGTACAGGCTTTGCGTAAAGTGAGTCATACTTATCAGCTTCTATATTCGGAACTTTCTCTGCCTGGAAGGTAGAGTATGCTGCAAAGGGTTCCAAGCGTCTGGGAACATGAACAGCATGCAAAGGGCCGCACAAAGAAAAGGAAAAAATGAAGTGGAAGGTAATTGTGGACCAAATGTTTTGCAACTACCGTGGAATGTCAACCGTATGCATCAAAGGTGTTTCAACTTGCATGACACCTGAATGGTGCGCATCTATAATGCCAGAAATACAATGCTTAATTAAATGCCGTGAATAATATAGTATAGCGTGCTGTAAATTGCAATTGCAGGGGTACTGCGAAGACTCGAGACGAAACAACACCATCCACAAGTTCAAGAGAGCATGCCAGTGGACGCTACTAGGAGCAAAGGGCATCGCTACTAGGAGAAAGGACGCTACTAGGGGGTCCTGGCCGTACTACTAGGAACAAGAAGCTACTAGGAAATTACTAGGAAATTTTTCGCGACGGCGACGCATCATCCACACGACGCACTGTTGAACAAGAGAGCCGGCTGACTTGCCGCTCTTGAAGGCGTCGTGATTTTTTGAAGGCGTTTTTGCACCATGTGACAAAACCGCAACTTTTGTGTGATATGCCAACGAAAGCTTGAAGTTGAGAGGCGTGTTTTTGCCTGCACCGGGTACTAGGAAAATGATGCCTTATGTTTTTTGAGACTCATAGAAAGAGACTCAACTGTTGAGTTTTGCATCTTTTTGCTCATTTGCATCACTTGCATATATTTGCACTTCAAATCCATTTACACGCTACTTGATGCTCTTTTTCAACTACTCCGCAGTCCGATCCCAGTCACCCCGGAGCCTGTCAGAAATCAAAGTTGTTCGAACAATGAACCTCAATGTGTCATTGAACACGTGTGACATTGACCTCCGTGTTTTTTCGTCCCTATGATCGCGTCCCTTGATCGCGTCAATCACTGTGTCACTATGAGAGTGTCGTGGTTCGATAACCACAAACAACAGTCGAACACAAAAACACCCCACCCTTCTCCCACCACAAAACTTCAGATTCAATTGTTTTCAAGTTACGGATCCGCTTTTGTGCCATGTCGGGGAGACATAGTAAAGCTTGAAAAGAAAAGCGAGCCCAATACTGGACGGTTGAAGATGTACGAGCCATTCAATTGGGTTCGTCCATACCCCGCAAATAAACACCTATATAGCTAATATTTTGGCAGTGTTCCCCCCCCATCACCCTTAAAACGTGCGGTTCAACCAAGTGCACACTCATAGCGGGAAAAGGGCGCTGCATTATATAGCCAGCTGTTTGTAAACAGCAGTACATTGTCGTCATGGTAGCTCTTGGATTGAGTCTCTACTTGGACAGTGCAGAGCCTATACTTGTAGGAGCTCATGGCCCATGTGAGCAGCGCAATGGAATCCAAACAGCAGGAAAAGGTCAGTGTTGCGTCAACCTTTGTTGCTCAACATTTTGCTCCATTTGTTGGGTTGAACGTAAGTCTGTGGGCTCAAGCCAGACCACTGCCTCAGAATCAAAAGCAATACTTGAGACTGAAATGCCTTGTGTTGGGCAATTCTTTACAGTTTCTGTTTGCAAATTAACTGGTGGTGTAGCTTGTACTACAATGGGTCGTTGGCAGATGATCAATGGGTGGCCGAGCGCTTATTTTTGGTCGGCCTTTTGATCATGAACATCCGATTGGGAGGGCTTTGACCTTAGGTCAACGCTGGGAAGTGGTTGGGGGCGGGGACAGAGGAGGGATCGTTGTGCGCGCCCAGCCCTCAGACATTCGAAACTGGGCCAAGAGCTCAGAATAGGTCTCTGAGTCAGAGCAATACGGCTTTGATGCACAAAGCGATATATACGTTTTCAGGCTGGTCGCCATTTAAGTTCTGCCGAGCTCCCCACAAGACTTGAAAAGTTCTCGTTGGTCGAGGAGTTTAGCAGAGAATGTGTTCAATACAAACTGTGGAAGTGGGTGAAACCAAGTGGACGTGGTGTTATATAGATAATTGGGTCAAGCATCTCCAAAAAGAATCAAAGAAGACAAGTGTGATTGAAAGTCTGATGATGTGCCTATGATGTGTGTACTCACAGAATGCAAGCTTTGACGGGTGCAGGAGGTTGCAAGATTCGGGGAGAGAGTGAAGTACAAGCTCATTAGAGGCAATGGGCCTGAGGACCCCTTCAACAAATCCCAAACCTTGCAGGGCTGCTTTGCTTCGTGCTGACCGTTGGCACGGAATATAAGAACATGAAAGTTTGAGGAGGGATGGGTGAGTGCACGCCTGAAAGACAAGGTGGGAACATGATGAGAAGAGCAGAGTTTTTCTGGATTCCAGGTCAATTTGCTTTTTTGGAATGGTACTTTGTTACTAGTAACGTCCTTGTTACTAGTAGTACGGCCAGGAGCCCCTAGTAGCGTCCTTGCTCCTAGTAGCGATGCCCTTTGTTCCTAGTAGCGTCCTTGTTCCTTTCCTACCAGGTCAATTTGCTTTTTTGGTTTCTAAGGAACGAGAGTCGAGATCCAAAGTGATTTGGCCATCAGGTCTTGCTGGAACCACGAGATGAGGAGGCCGGCCTCACTGCTGTAGCATGTTTCTGTGCGTGCAACTTGTATGATTCGTAGCTCTGGTGTTGCTTACAGTCACTGAAGTGCCATCAATTCCTTGCACACACTGAAGGTTTCAAGCATTGAGGGCCGACTAGAGGATGGTGAGCCCTCTTCACGGAGGATACGCTGGGCCTGCGCTTGGTCGCTTCCGCCAGGCATTCCACCTCTACCTGAACGGCGTGATCCTGGACAAGGCGAAGTACATGAATCCCGCGCTCACAAACGAACAAGTACTATGAGCAGGTTTCACGCTTGGATTGCAGGAATCCTGCCCTCGCAAGAGGATTTCATGGAGAGGAACAGATTGCCGCCAGCCTCGGCCTCGTCGCACATGTCTGGATTGTGGTCTTGTTCGCGTTGGGCGTCCGGCTTCGACACCCATGCCATCCTTAGTACCTCGAGCTGAAGTACCTGAGGCCGGCTATATGAGTTTCACACCTTCGACAGTCCACGCGGTCTTCAAGATGTGTAGCGTGATGGCCACCGTGAAGTACAATGAGGTGGAACGCAACTTCTCGGAGGATGATCTGATCTTCTCAGGATCCTCCGCGCAGCGATGATGACAAGCTACAATTGGGCTGACTTTCAGAAGGTAAGGGCGGTTTCACCAGCAGCAGCAGTGCATTTTTCCCCCTGGACCCTCACGGGCAGGATTGGCTCCAGCATCGTCGCCTCCACCAACACCATCAAGAGATTTGCGTCATGGCAAGATCCTCAACTTCGGCAAGTATAAGGGCCACGCCTTTGAGCGAGCCTGCAGTTATTATGTGGCCTGGGCGTTGGGAGAGTTGACCGAAGACTCCAACATGACATTCAAGCTGTTGGGTCGCTACTTTGAAGATCGGCGCTATGCTGAGAGCACTGGAACTTCGTTCATGGCCACTGAGGAGACCGTGGTCATTTCGGACGATGAGCAAGAAGAAGCGTCAGCGTCGGAAAATGACCTCATCGCCTTCCTATACTCCGGATGCAACAAGACATATATGGGGACAAGTGGTTGAAAAAGTACCTCAAGGCAGTTGGACAGGAGCCTGATCAGTTTCCACTACTGGATGAAGGGGGTACCTTCAAGGGCCTGGAGGTTCAGTGAAAGCATCAGGAACTTGAAGGTCGGCTTTGAGCTTTTGGATGGTGGCATGGCTATTGGCGACATCGACTCGACTGAGCTCAAGGATAGTCAGGCACCTTCGGTGTCTGAGGGTCAGTACCACCTCGTTCGCCCGTTGGCTCATGGCCATACCCAATGGCCGTCGCATTCAGATCAACAGATCCGCAACCTGGCACCGGCATCTGGGATTGCGGCGGCGCAAGCGGTCTTGCAGGTATTTCAGCAAGTACTTTCCGTTTCTTTTCCCCAACTTCTTGTGCTCCAAGTTGGGTGTCACAGCCCATGCCCTGCCCCATGCGAAGACCAGGCACCATGAGAAGCGAGCGCGCTGTAAAATGCGCGCAACGATTTTTCATTGAACAGCCGGCGCATTCTGCAAACCAGGTCAATACCAGAAGTGCACGTTTGATATGGTGGTGCGCAGCGTGCAACTTTGGTTCGTTGTTCCTTTGATGCAAAGGTGAATTTGCAAGTCAATGTTAGTTGACCGTGTTTCAAGACTAGAAATGCTTACTGCACTTTCTGCTGAGCACAGTTGTTCACCGTTCACCGCAGTCTGCGCTGTAGGACAAGCTCTTGACTGCTTTCAAAAGCCAAGAATTTCAAGAGAAGAACCTTGCTTAGAGTGGGCCTATTTTCAAGCCAGGGGCTAGTCCGCGTGATGAAGTTGTCGCAAGCTGAGGCTAAAGCGGTTGCAAGCCCAATACCCACAGTTGGTGCCTTAATTAAGCCCAGCACTGACGGCAGGCCATCAAATCGAGCTTTGTCGAAACTGCATTCAGGCGAAAGCAGAAAGGCCACAGAGAGCAGGGCTTAGTTGGCAAATTTTTCGCAAGTAGCATAACGACTTGTACGTAAAAATGGACTTAGTGAAGTGGGGGAAGGCCTGCCAAGTTAGCTCAGGGGAAGCGTGAAGGACAACCAATTTCAACTTGCACCTTCAAGGTTTAAGTGTAGCCTTGTGAATCTTGAATGCGTTATTGTGATTTATTGTGCAAAAAATCATTGTTACCAGCGCACAGTTTGCCGAATGCGTGGCAAAGGGTTCTGGTTTAACTCTGGGCAGGTCTTGTTCGGGTGAGGTTGCTTGAGTTTTTGCGCCAGTCGTTGATCGGACCCCTACTGTATGTGGCCCTCCCATTCAAAGCTCTAGAGGAACTCTTGGATGGATGGATGGATGAAATCTCTGAATCGCGTGAAATAACATGCATCGTAGAATGCACGGTGAATATCTGCTGTGGGTGCAGCGTGTTGTGAGGTGGGCAGATCGCGTCGCTGTGCCATTAGGGCTTGCTGTGGCAGAGCATTCTTCGAAGTTGTGTTTTGTGAGAAGTCTGGATGATGCGGGTAAGGCAGGAAAGTGTCGAAATCATTTCAAACGCGTGACGCAACGCAAAATGTTGCATTTATTGTTACGGCATTGCCACTTGGGCCACTAGAGACTTGAGAGGTGCATTGTGTGTGTGTGGGAGTCAATTTCCTGAAGGTGCAGTAAAGTGGTTGAACCTGGTGTTCATAATGCGGCGTTGCCCATAATTTTTCACGTCCCATGGGTGGCCGGCGCTTGGTTTGCTCGACGCTTTAGTTTGATATTTGATTGGTAATTGCGTGACATATATACTGGAGTTGTGATGGCCCGGCATTTGCACGCGCGTGTATAATGCTTATAATGTCTCATCACCAGCGTTGCTGTTTCCTTATTCATGTGTTTCTTTGTTTTGAGATGTTTTTGATTCGTTTTGCGTCCCTATGACTATGAACTTCACATGAACAGAGACAATGTATTTTCCTTGCTTTACTTAGGATGGCCCTGTGTATTTTCAGGCTTTCGAGGTGTGTGCTGTTTCATTGAATCAATAGAAGGTTCCGCAACCTATTTTTTTAGCTAGGTTGAACAACTCTGACCATGCGCTTAACTCTTTTGGTAGTGGAATCAAGCCAGTTTTGCAATCGTTTGCTAGTTCACAGCCAGGCTTTTGTGCAGGCAGTGGTGCAAGAATTGAGTGTGCTTCCGTTGCAGGTGCTTGTGATGGCGGTGCACGAATCTTAGACAAGAAAGCAGGTCCGTAGTTGACGAATCTTTCATGAGGTTTTGCAGTGTTCTTCCAGCTCACGGGCTTCGAGGAGATTGGGATGGAGTTGGGATCTTTGTGTCTCTTGTCCCCACTTCTGCGGGGAAGCATCACTATCACAAATGCCGAGGTCCGAGACATGTTTGCCATGATGGCTTCAGCTTTGACGCATTTGAAAGTCTTGGCCCTAGAACTGTTGAACAGGAGCCAGGCCAGACTCTTTATCATTGCAGCATACGTCAAAGCTTGTTGCTCTTTGGATAGCCGCCCTCCTGCTTAACAGGGGCTTCTTCCTTCTTGGCTAGACGGATAGGCTAGACTAGACTGTCGTTCGTGGATGGAGAATGTAGGCATGTAGTCATGTTGCGGATGTTTTTTCAAACAAGAACTTGGAAAGTTGTGGACCGTATACCATACACGAAGCAGGAACCTCTCATGAAGATTAAGGTTTTCTTTTAACAGAGGGAACCTTCCTTGTATGTACACAGTAACGTGACCAGATTCTTATCAAGGGGAAGCATTGTACACAGGAGGATAGTATGATGATAGTCTTGCAAAACTAATAGAGCTCCTGGATAAGGTAGGACGTTTAAGAGTGTGAAACTGCTGAAGCAACGGATCGAATATTCTTGCAGAGCCGGATTCGTTTGACATCGGTTATATTTATTCTGATGTTCTGGGGTGTTATGAAGCCAATGATAGTATTGTGAAGCCAACAATGATGTTGTGGAACTAGGATAGGGTCGCAACAAGCTTTGCTCACAAGGGCAAGCCCGACCCACATGTTACATGTTTGAGGTTAAGCGACAGCACGAGGAGATAAACATTTTGCTGGGGCTGCCTCAGCCTCAACTTCTTTGGTAGAAGTTTTCAGGCGACAAAACTAAAGTATCATAAATACTCATGCCGATGCTGTTTTGACTTTTACAAGACAGCCTCAGGTATGGCGTTACGTTTTTGACCCTTTTTGCAAGCCGAGGCCTCGCGATGCGAGACTTATTGCGCCTTCCAAGAAAGAGGATAATTTTGTCAATTCATGTTCTGATGGACACATCCTGGTCCTCCTCCAACGTGAGTGTACTTGGGATATCTTGAGATTCTTGGTGTTGCCAGTGGTTGATGAACATCTTTGGTTTATTCAAGGGGAGGTTGTCTTGGCTCAATGAATCAAGGGACGAGCGAGGGCGAAGGCAAAAACAACAATAATTAGTCTTTTGAACATGTCTAGATTGCTCGATTTGTGGGTTTGATTTCGTCGTCCCAGGCCTTTATGGACCGTGGAGGTTTGAGCTGGGGGCTGTTGATTGAAACCCACTGTTCCAGATCACTGCTTAAGTGAAGACATCGAGATTTTCTTGATGCCGAGATTGCTGGCTTGAGGGTTGAGGTTTTTCGAGCGCAGGAATTGGTCGCTGGATTCAGTCAGGCTCTTGAGGCTTGTGGGCGATGTGTAACCACCAATCAGTGGGCGGTGGCCATAACTTTGTCCGTGACTGTGACCAGCTTTGCGTTGATCTTGACTGCAAGGCTTCAGAGGCCGGATTCTGTTGCCAAGCCGGACTGCCTTGCTTCCAGTTGGGGACCTGACTGCCACCGTAGTCATGGATCAGACTCACAACGTCGGAGGGCATTTTTCAGGAGGCTTTTGGTTGGTATCTGGGCGGCATGCGGATCCATTCCCACTCAACTCAGTGTGATGCTGCGAGAGCAGGCTTTTCTCGATGTTTTTGAGCTAAAACGAGCTCAATGGATCGGTGAATCGCTGAGCAAGCTTGCTCTGCATGGACACAACTCATTCAGTTCTCCACATTGCTGTCCAGACTTTGTTTGTCAGAGAGTGATTGACTCCTTGCGTCAATGCCGACATGAACCCCGAGTCCGCCCTCAATGAACTGCAGGCTAAACTCTCCTATGACTATGATGGAACGCCGATCATCTTATGATCCTGGGAAGCAGAAAGTTCTGCGCGACCCCGGGGTCGCCGAATAGGATTACCTGTTTTCTACAAGTCAAACCAGCAAAGCTCGTGGAGCACTATGAGTCACAAATTCTGCTGCCTGAGAATTCCTGCCTTGAGATTCGACAAAAAGAAGAGACTTGATTTCATTGTGAAGCTGCGCAAAGCCGGCCGGTCTTGTCAGGCTGAGGAGAGCGCCCAAGTCATTTTTTGCGCCTGTTTCACCAGGAAGAAGATGCCTGACGCGATTAGAATGGTTTGGGCTGCAGCGGAACCAACAGACTTCATCAAAGCCCCCTCTGCAACACGCTTGCGTTCTACTAGATGCTATGGCGACCTGGACTTGGTGAGGAACTGAGGCTGGTGTCAACGATGCCCTTTACAAAACCTCAATCTCTGGAACTTGCTACCTCGCCTTCAATCACTGATTGGAAGCTATTCTTTTGGTCAGAACTAGGGTTTGGTGCTGATATAGGGATAGGGTCTATGATCCGTATGTGAGGAGGGTGGTGACTGTGAAGCCATGACAGGCACTGCCAATGCGCTGGTCTTGGGCTCTCTTCCTGAACATGTGCAAACAACACTCAGCTTGCGCTGACGGCGTCGTCCGTGAGAGGAAATTAACCTTCAGGCGTCGGACTTCCGTACATCTTTGCATGTCTATATGTGGACAACATTACCCTAGTTGCCCGAACGTTGCTGTATTCATGTGGCAGAGGCGCTGGTATTCCCTTTGCGTGGCCCCAAGACGTTCCTGTCAAGTTTCTTTTTGGCAACACTGGCCTTGATGAGGCATAAGAGAAGGGCAAGGGCAAGATCCTGCAGATTTGGGCTGGGCGTTATACACTTCTCTCTGTGCTTTGGCCATTGATTTGGGGTTCATTCGGGAAGTCAGTCAACTTCGGCGAGCGCAGATCTGGGCAGCTGTTTGACGGGCACCCCTTTGCAGAACAGTGGAGGTCGGTGATTCGGCAACTTGCCAACCAGATGCGCGGCTGATCAAGTATAGGCCATCGCCGCATGTCACCGCCCATGGGAAGGAGGTTCATAGCCGCTGCCAGGCAGAGCGCAGAGGCCTCTGAGCAGGTGCTGCAGGGGCCGTGGGCCTGATGAGGCGCGCAGGCCTGCTGGACTCTATACTGTCTATGCTAAGACGGCGATGGAATCTCTACAAGAGGGATGTTTGGGAGCAATCAGAGCACAGCCATCAAAGCGGACTGACATCGATGTTCGTTGAGCAACAATGACAAGCGCATCAACATCAAGGCGGCTCGCGTTGCATTGTCCTCGCTGAAGCGAAGCTGGTAGGGCGCCCGAGCTTTTGTCGCATAAGCTGAAAATCTCGGAGAGCACAGCGCTTTCCAAAGGTAGAAGTGCATTATGCAAGATTTCAGCGGCCTTCAGCTGGCATGTGGGACCGTGCGGCGTCTGAGGCATGTCGAAACAAAGCGCAACGTGGCGCACGACCCATCTCGCAACTTCAATAGAGGAGCCCGGAAAACCAATGACAATGGCCTCCTACGCTCTGCTTGGGTAATTGACATTCCTGACAAAGCTGAACGCGACGCGTTCCCGCTTAGCTGGGCAGCTCTTGCAGCCTGGGAGGGCAGTAGAGCCGGAGCATCTCGTGTGGGCGTGGTACCTCAAGTCATTGATCATTTTGCGGCATGTTGTGTGGGCAATGGGTGTTTTGATGCTGCTGGCCAACAGCCCTCACAGAACGTGGGCAAACAAACTGTTGGGGCGGCAGGATAGGCAAACAGACAGGAAAGTTTTTGATCTCACACTCGCTCAATACGAAGCGCTGTTCCCAGACTTTTCAATCTTCAGGTTTGAGAGCTGTTCTTTTCACCCCATGCAGTTCGTCCTTCCGGACTTTCTCCTGACCTGATCAATGAGTATCGGAGTCTTGGGGCTATTGAAGGATGGGGTCGACGGGCAGCTCCTTCGTCTGTCCACCGATACCGGAAACTTGGACGCCTTTTAATTGGCCGCACTTCCTGCTTCCTGCGCAGCTTCGGCTTTTCACAGAAGCACCGCTACATGAGGCTCTTGGGTAACTCTTGACTTGTCTCATTCATGGGCGTGAGCCAGTTGCCCTTTTACAAGTGGGGGTGTGGGTCGTGTTCGTATGTGTGTGTGTGTATATATATATAGAACCTTTTTAATTGCTTCGTAACTATGTATCTGTTCACCCATCCATCTATCTATCTGTCCATCTATAATTGATTTACTGTAAGACCCTTACCCTCTTTTACTGAGAGGCGGCGGGTCCAAAGCGGTGACAGCGCTGTCGCATGGTGTCACACAGTTTTCTCTTCGCGCGCAGGACCTGCTTGTATACTGCCCAGGCTGGATCTTCTTTTCTTAGTCAACAGTTGCTCCAGCCAAGCAGTTGGCCAGCAAATGTGCTGCAAAGGAGGTAATGGGAATCCACCTTTTGATTCTCACTTGATCCAGGCCGTGTTGGAACGCTTATGATTGTTTGACGCCACTTTCAATATACTGGGGTTTTTGCTGAAGAGGATGAGGATGGCGACGTGGCCCATGAGTTCTTGGTGGAAAATGAGGACCGAAGATGAGATGTGTCCAATTCTTTGCCATAGTCATAGACGACTCAGGCCAGTCAGGACTTGTTAGGTATGAGCCGGGCTGTTGCGCCCAAGACTTTTTTTTCGGGTCGAAGCAAAGACACCGCAACGAAGTTGTTTGGAGGCCACAGGAGAACTCTGCGCCGCCTTGGCGACTTGGCAGCAAGTTCTTCAGCCACGGAAACGGAGCGAACAGTTCAAGGAACTTGTAGTAAGTGCGTAAAGAAACCTACCTCATTTCACTGCAAGTCTGATAAGACTCTTAAGTGTTTTGCGACAAGCTCGGCCGGTACCGTTTCTGGTGGAGTTGTTGGCGTTCAAAAGCTCTCAGGTTTCAAGGCCAGCCAGTGACAAGATGTAGCCCTGCAAGTATGGGACTCAGGAAGTTTGCGCTAAAGAGTATCATTTTCCTAGTTTTGATGCACGCTTGTGCCTCCTCAACTTAGGTCTTGGTTTCTCGGTATCTTTCAGTGCTTGCGCAAGAAGGCAGCTCTTGTTCCTGCAGAACGGTGGATGGGCCTGAGTCTGTGAAGCGCTTGCTTTTGCAGGGTTGTTGCCAGAGGCTCAAGTTCCACCACAACGGCGAGCTGCAAGTTCGTGTTGGAGGGACCAGCCTACGCAGAGCAACGAGACAAAAGGATCCTGACCTGCCCAGATCACTCCAGGAACAAGACTTGTTACGTTTCAGACGTTTGAAAACCATGTGATTTGTAAGTGTAAAAAAGGGTCCTTGCGGTGTGTAAATTAAATAAGGTACACCCTGACCTCCAGTTTAATTTTCACCTGTGAAATGTTTTGGCATGAGCTTCCATAGAGTGTCCCTCAATCGCGTTGATGTTCTGGCC